CTGTTCCTCCTGTTTTTTCTACTCTCCTCTTCTATTTCTCCTCTTTATTCTCCCTCTTTCCTTCCTCCTCCCCCACCCCCTTCCCACCTCTTCCTTCTTTTCTCCTCCCTCTCCTCCTCCTCCTCCCCTTCCCCCTCCTCCTCCCCTTCCCTCCCTCCCCTTCCCTCCGCATTTCTGTCTCCCCCCCCCACTTTCACCCCCCCCTTCTCCCCCTCCCCCTCCCCCCCTCGCAGCAACCGCCACCAACATCGCGGTAGCTATTGCTCTTGCCCTGTGTATTACCTTGAAGATGAGAGATGAGCAAAAAGATAAGTGAGGGAGAGAGAGAGAGAGAGGGAGGGAGGGAGAGAAGAGAGGGAGGGAGGGAGGGGGAGAGAGAGAGAAGGGGGGGGAGAAAGAGAGAGAGGGAGGGGGAGAGAGAAAGGGAGGGGTAAGAGAGAGAGGGAGAGAGATAGAGGGTGCGATAAAAATAAAGGGAAGGAGAGGGAGAGAGAGAGAGAGAGAGAGAGAGAGAGAGAGAGAGAGAGAGAGAGAGAGAGAGAGAGAGAGAGAGAGAGAGAGAGAGAGAGAAATTCTCATTCATCGTCTACGTATTGATGTTACATGTTGTGAAATTCAAGCTTGGTTAAACCAGTGTATATTTCACGAGAATAATACGTGTGTGTGTGTGTGTGTGTGTGTGTGTGTGTGTGTGTGTGTGTGTGTGTGTGTGTGTAGGCGCGTGCTCCCGCGTCTTTTTATAAGTATCTGTGTAGGTGTGCATGCTTTCATCTGCGCGGTGAATTATATCTGTATGTTCCATTGTTTTTAGGTGTCATTGTGTGTGTCACTATATCTTTTTATTTTTATTCATTTTCCACCACTTTCTCTCCCCCTTCGCCATTTTCTTTTTTTTCTTCTTTTTTTCTCCCTCACCATCTCCTCTTTTCTGCCTCTCCTTCTGTAGGGTCCAGTTCTATCTTTCCTTCGTGTCTATTTTATTCTCCCATTCCCTCTATTACTCTTTCTTTTTCATCCCACTTTCCTTCTCCCGCTCTTCTTTATCCCTCTCTCCTTCCCTCCGTCTCCCCCGCTCTCCTTTTCTCCTTCTCTGCGTCTCTTCCTCTTTCCGTTTCTTCCTCTCTCCCTCTTTCCATTTCTCCTTCTCTCCTTTTTCCCATTTCTCCTTCTCTCCTTTTTTCCATTTCTCCTTCTCTCCTTTTTTCCCATTCCTCCTTCTCTCCTTTTTTCCATTTCTCCTTCTCTTCCTTTTTCCCTCTTTCCCTCTCTCCCGCCCTCCTTTCCTCCCTCTCTCCCTCTCTCCTCCGTCGTCGGTGTCCTTCCCCCTCCCTGTGCTCGCGCCTGTGTGTTTGGCGAGCAGCGAGCGCCTCAGCCGGGGTCGCGCGCGGGGCTCCGCTGCAAGCCTCGCCTCGCCGCAACTTCGCCGAAACTTCACTCGTTCCACATCACCCAACACGCACACACACGTACACACACAGATACACACGCACTCATATGTACTCACACGCACGCTCATACTTACTCACATACTCGCGCACATATGCTCACACACACACGCACACATGCTCACACACACACATGCTCACACACACACACACGCATACATGCTCACACACGCGCGCACACACACACACACACACACACACACACACACACATGCTCTTACACGCGCACACAGGCACATTGTTCTTGCCACAGACTCCGTGTTGGTATCGTTTCCCGCACCGTTGTCGTGGTACCGCAGCGCATACCTACCGGACTTACGCATGCACGATTGCACGGCTGTAGCGGCTGGGTGGGGGTGGAAGGGTGTGCAATGATGGGGGGGAGGGAGGGGAGGGGGTCCGCGCTACGCCCAGGCATGTCACTGGGACGCCCTTTAAACACACGCCTTCGCGGCATCGACCGTCACTTACGCCCACACGTCACACGGGACGACGTCAGCGCTGCCGCCCACGCTCGCCCACCCACACCTGAACGCTGGCGGGAGGGAGAGGGAGAGAAAGAAAGAGGGAATACAGGCCGCTCGCTACGTGTGAGTTTGCTGTGACTCAACTCTCATCCACTCTCCCCCCCCATCCCCCCTCTCCTTCCCCCTTCCTTTACCCTTCCTCCTTACCCCCTCCTTTCTCCCCCTCCTCCCTACCCCGTCCTTTCGCCCCCCCCCTCTCCTCCCCCCCTCATCTCTTATCTCCCCAGTCTGCTCATATTTCTCATTCATTTACTCATATTTCTCCTGCTACTATATTTGGCATCCTTCCCCGTTTCATCATTTCATGTTATGTATTACGACCGCCATCCCACTCTCTCTCCCTCTCGCAATCACTCACATTCTCTCTTGAGACTTCAATCCTCCTCCTCTTCATATCTTCCTAATTACTCCAACCTCCATCTCTCTCTTTCCTTCTCTTCTGTTATTCATTTATCTTGTCCTTATTTCCTCTACAAAATGTTCACACTTTGCTGTTGGTAGTAGTTTATGGTGCTAATGACACCTTGTTGGTGGGGGAGGGGGTCATTTTTTTTTATCTTGTAGTCCATATGGTTTATTACAGTGTAGTCTTGGTATGTGACTGCTTCAAAAGGTGGCAGGGAAGTTGTCTTTGGTCCCTCCCCCTCCCCTACCCCCTCCTCCAGTATTGCTCATACTTGTCCTGTCCAGTTTATGGCATCTTCTGTGTGGTTGACCCATGCCCCATCCTACCCGTGCCCAATGCCTACCCTCTTTCCTTCCTTCCTTCCTTCAGGCCCCCTACCAAGTGTCCTTGTGCCCCTGCCCATGTATGTGTCTAGAAGGTTTTCTTTTATATACTGTGAAATAAAAGGGGGGGGGGGTAGATGTCTGTTATGAATAGCAATACGATAACATATTGCTAGGAAACACAAAGATATGCTTGTGGGAGTATAGCATCTGGCTGACTTATGAACATACATGCTATGACAGACTAACACATGTACACCACTTGTAAACTCATGTGCATGTCCAGGCATAAGTGTGATAAAACTGATAATTCCTCTTTTTCTTTTCAGGAAGTGCGTGATGAGCGAGGAGGAGTTCTTGCTGAAGTGGAACAACCACCAGACCAACTTTGTCGACGTGTTCAATGAGCTCCTCCGCGATGAATCTTTCGTGGACGTGACCCTGGTGTGCGGGGGGGAGGCAGTCCCAGGACACAAAATGGTCCTGGCGGCTTGCTCCCCCCTGCTACACCGCATCCTCCGTGACAACCCCTGCAAGCATCCGCTGGTCATCCTCAGCGACGTGCCAGCCAGGGACATGCGGGCCATGATGAAGTTCATCTACCAAGGGGAGGTGAGCGTCTCCCAGACAGAGTTGGCCAGCTTCCTCAAAACGGCAGATAACCTCCAGATCAAGGGGCTGGCGGAGGACAAGGAGAAGGAGAAGGAGGAGAGGAAAAGAAAAGACAAGGACGGTGACAAGACCGAAGGCAGAGTCAGCAATAAAAGACAGAGGACGGCGGAACCCCGTACCACGGAGAACTCCTCTCCCCTTCCCTCACGCTCACACAAAGCACTCAATGATTCTCACTCTTCTAGTCATAAGAGCAGGAGCAAAGCCTCGGCCGAAGAACACACACCCAGGGTTGGGGGGGGAGGGCTACACATGCCTGCCTCTAAACACAACTCATCAAAGAACTCCAGCTCAAAATCACCTCGTGACATTCCCTCTAGAGTTTCCAATGCCTCCGAGGAGAACAGCCTCCAGCACGCCGTCAACAATAACAGCGTCACCGAGGATGTTTTACCCAAGGAGGAGATGGTAGATGTTTTTTCTGTATTCCTTTTTCTTTGTTTGCTTATTCTCTGTTGTGCCTCATCTGCTAAATTTCTTGCTCTGTCTTTAATCTGCTCATATCATTTTTAAACTTTCTTTCTATGTATTGACCATACTGAGATTATATACTTAGCAAACACAAATACGTATCTAGATCAGAATGACAATAACATCAACATGGTTAGACTAACTTTCTTGTTTGGTCTTTCTCATGCTTAATCTCAGCACTGGATGCAAAACCTAACAACTTAACCCATGTGTTCCACTTTTACAGACTGTAAAGACAGAACCTCTGGACTACCCAGGAGAGATGGTGTGGACCGAAGGTCATGGCACCATAAAAAGTGATATTTTAGAAGACCCTCAATCATTAATGCCTTTAGCTGCAATACCCGGTGCACTAGAGGGTGTTGCAGCTGCCCTCGCTGCCTCCCCCAACCTCCCCGTCATGGAGTCAGGTTAGTCACTGTTGAAGGTGGGACACTCATGGCTTCTAATTATTGCTGGAGATACTTTGCATGATAAAGAATTAAACTTGTGCATGTGTACTCAACATGATTTTTAGACTAAAATTGAACTTTGTTTTTTTTAACACAAAGCAATATTGATAATTGGAGTTGTTCTTCTTTCAGGTGAAGACAGCCGGGGTGATATGTCTACTGCCTCAGATGAACTCAATTCTAATGCCGTAGGGGTGAGTACAAGAGATGTTGAGCATAGGAAGCCATGTTTAATCACAGAAAAATGGATGATGATGCACTCAAGTAGAGCATTTAAATACAAACTCTAAATCAGATTCAAACTTTAGCTCAGAGCTGAGGAGAATACAAAGATATGTCATTGAAACTACTTGAATTCATGCATTTTTTTTTAAGGTCATCATGGCTTTTTATGACATGATTTATGACAATTTCAGTATAATAGTTTAAGGCAATAAAGAATGAGGAATGGTATATTTTACAGTTCTCTATAACACTATGCTAAACCTATCATAGCTTTTGCACATTTCTTAATTTCCCGGATTTCACCAACTGAATTGTTTGTATTTTTTAATTACTGTGATTTTATGCTTGTAAAGAAAAGTAGTTTAGCCTGTATAACAGCTGATTAATAAGTTTAAATTCACACTACGATTTCTTGTGTTTTTGTCTTAAATTGTAATTTCTGTATATATAAAAACTTCTTTCATTTGTGTATATATAATATATATTGATAAGTATAGGGCATTCTCTTATTTCTTGTATGAAAGTATATTTTCTCTCTCTCACTCACTCTCACTCTCTCACTCTCTCACTCTCTCACTCTCTCACTCTTTCACTCTCCCTCTCTCTCTCTCCCTCTCTCTTTCTCTCTTCCTCTCTTTCTCTCTTTCTCTAATCCCCCCCCCCTTTTAGAGAATGAAAACATGAGCATAGAACTCATGTCTTAGAAATGGTAGTGTGAATTGGCTTGAACAACTCTTGACCTAGTCAGACATGAACATTATTCAGAGATTTATATGGACAAATATGCGTCTATTAAGATACTGGTACCTTGATTAATTTGGTGGATCTGAAAGATCCCCAAGGTACATTCATAGTATGTGGTGGTGGTGTGTATCAGAATGGCACAACATGCATGAGATAGTGCATGGCAAAGTCGTACTGTCTCTCCATTATACAGACTCTTAATAGATCTAATAGATAAGTAATGTCAGGTGAAAAAGTTATTTTGTTTGTGGGAGGATATTTTGCATTGTCTTGTTCTCTTTCATTTTCTTCTTTGTTTATATGTATTTGTTTTGTCTGACTCCCAAACCTGCACACATATACACAGATGCACAATAAAACATGCATGCATACACACACATCAGAACATGTAGCATAGACAATGATAAAATGTGTTAGTATCAGTAAATTATTAAATTTCATGTACTGTGTTGGTTTGATTTACTAATTTATATAAATGAATCTGTTTATTTTACTATTACCATAATACTATTAGGCAGGGTATGTGTGTCTGCTTCTTTATTATGTTAGTAATGTTGAACTTATTTTTTGTTTTTGTTATTAAATTATAATTATATATTTTTTTCCTTTTGCTGTGCATTCAGTATTTGTTGCATCAAATGATGTTTGCTTTGGAGCCCATAGAAAAGATGAAGTAGTCTGACTCCCTTGTGTGAGGAAAATGACTTTATACATGACTGAAGGTACTCAGGGGAGGGCATTGTAGCTGGTAACCACAACAGAACAGAAATGAAGAATGCAGACAGACGGCCATGTCAGACCAGGTCTTCCCAACATAATGCTTATTTAAAAAAGTTGTGGTATCACCTACCATTCTCTCTACCAGGGTACCTGGGTGCAAGGTAGTCTAGCCCAAGGTACTGTTCGAGACAGTGGGACAGTGCCCCCACCAAGTCTGGTGCCCGCAGCAGCTCCACTGCCACCACCAGTGACTCCAGCTGCCTTCACTCAGCAGCAACTGGAAGAGCCCCAGCAACTGCAGCCACCCCTGCCAAGCCATGCAAGCCCTTTCAGAGCCAGTACCATTACTCTGCCTCTCAGTCTGCCAAGCACCACCACAGTCTCAGCAGCACATCTGGAGAGGCTTCCAGACGTACCATCCTCCTCAGCTCCACCACAGTACTTCACAACAACAATCACAACAAATAACAACAACAGTGCCCACAAATGCAGGCAGTGCTCATTTGTTACCTCAAACCCATACACATTCACCCGACACTTGCGCATCCACTTGGGCACCAAAGAATTCCGCTGTCGGGTCTGTGCCTTTGCTTCCTCGAGAAAAGATTCCCTCATTCGTCACTTCCGCATGAAGCACTTGACGGGGGAGATGTCTGTGTACCATGACCTGGACTCCAGGGACATTGAGGAATTGGCCTTAGTCAGAGGAGTACCTGACAGTCTACGATTGAGACCTAATCAGTTTTAGATAGTCCTCAGATGACGACTGTGCTGCTAATACTGTACTGAGTGCTTCTTAGGCTCTGTGCCTCATTTATTATTTTTTCTTTCTGAAATTTCTGATGATTTTACCTTACTCAGGAATATTATGGTGAATCAAAAGCAACCAAAGGAACAGCACATATTATGAACCAAAGGATTAGAAACTATGTTTTTCTGTTTTTTTTAAGGGATCATTAATGCATTCCCCAAAGACGACGCTGAAACCCTAATAAGGCTGAAATATTTGTTGTTTAGATTATTGTCCACTAGGGTAAGGGAAGTCAGTTTTAAGGTTTTTCATCACCTGAAAATGTCCTTCTTCTCTTTTGAGTCCTAGATCACTAATTAAGTTATATGTTTATTTATACACAGAAAAGTTCCTAGTAAGCACTATGTTCTCAACGACTATTCACGACATCATTGTTTCTTGAAGTCTTGGTAGTTTTCTTTTATATTGTATTTTTCTGATGTTGAAAGCTTTGTATGAATAAGACAATTTATTTTTTATAAAAATGAGTGCATGAGTTACACTTTGAAAACATGCATAATATCACGTATTTGTTGATTACCCCATTTTGTATATATATATTTATAAATAAAGAATAGAAGCAAATAATAAGTTACTGTTCTTTTATTTTTGATATGAACAAAATTGTAGATTAAATGATTTCGAGAGATACTAAAATGTTTACACAAGGATATGCTTGAGAATACAATAAGTACTGAAGGCTAAGATTTTTGGAAATAGCGATA